GTGAATATGTCTGTCGTTGCTGTTTAGTTGGGACATAGGAGAGCTTAAATATACCTTGCTTAATTTTTCTTTGATGAAGCGTCAGTCGATCTCGACATGCTTGGTTTTGTCATGATGAACTGGATTCCTTGCTATCTCAGTAGCTGCTTTGTTGTCATTCTGTAGAGTCCTAGAAATGGGGTTGATAACTCTCAGTTCTTCTAGCATCCTCCTAAGCCAAATTCCTTCGTAATCCCATGGCACATTGCTCTGAATTCTGTCTTAGCACTGCTTCTAGCGACTGCAGCTTATTTTTTACTTCTCCCTGTAACTATATTTCCCCAGACGTATGTGCAGTGCCCTGTAGTAGATCTTCGGTCTGTCAGTGAACCTGCCCAGTCTGTATCAGTGAAAATGTTTACTCCTCTATTTGTGGATTTCTGAAAGAAGAGACCCTTTCCTGGACTTTGTTTTAAGTATCGAAGGATGTGAAAAACAACCTCCAAGTGTTTCTTTGTCGGCTGATTCATGTATCTGCTCACTATTCGTACGACAAAACTTATATCTGGTCGTTTATGTGAAAGATAGATTAGTTTTCCTACTAGTCTTTGATACCTCCCTTTACTTGTCAACCTTCATTCTTCTTCCATGAAATGCTTTGCGGTGGGATCCATAGGAGTAAGGGCTGGTTTGCAATTTAGCATATCCATCTCTTTTAGTAGGTCCAGGGTATATTTCTGTTGTGAGATTGAAATTCCCAATTGCGAACGATCTATTTCCATCCCTAAAAAATATTGGAGCTGCCCTAAGTCTTTGATCTCAAATTCACTAGCCAGAACACTCTTTAGAGATTTGATTTCTTCCAAGTGATCACCCGTTAAGACAATATCATCTACATCACTATCATGATGGGTTTTTTTCCTTCAGGAGAAATTTTAATGAATATAGTGTGATCTATTTGACATTGAGTGAACCCGTACCTTTTTACAACTCGAGTTAACTTTTCAAACAATGCCCGATGTGACTGTTTGAGTCCATACAAGAATTTTCTTAGAATGCGTACCTTTTCAAAAAGTCATGTATGTCAAGTCCAGAGAGAAACTCCATGTATATACTTCTTCTAGGTCACCATTTATGTGACCCCCCTGTTTCCATACATGGCTGTAGTCCAAGGTGAATCCAGAGATGTCAAACTTGCCATGCATCCACACTGTGTAACAACACGTTTCACCATCTCTAGTGAAATCAACAAGTAGAAGGGAACTTAATGACATAATTAAGATCCTTTGTGAGTTTACTAATGGACAATAAATTGTAGTCTAAGTTAGGCACAAATAAGACTGAATTTAGCTTGATCACCTTTGATATGATGACTAAACCTGTACCGGTCACTTCTGAAGAGGTTCCATCGGCAATTCGAACAAAGGTCCCCTTTGTGGCTAGTCTAAGTTCACTGAATGTTGTAATGTCTCCTGTCATGTCGTCCGATGCTCCTGAGTCAACAATCCATTGCGTGAGAATTTTCTTTGCACCAAGAGCAGTGTAGAAGTTACCTTGCTGTGTCATAGTTGCTGTATTACTCCCATTAGATTTGAATGCATTCTGGATTATGCTTCGTAGCATTTTCTGCAAGACGTCTATTTGCTCTTGATTGAATGGGCTGGTTTCCTCTATTTTTTGATTCTGATTTTTTGTCGTTGCAATATTCCCTTAGCTTGTTTGATATGATTGAGAAGAAGGCTGCCAATTTGCTAGTTTTCCATGTATTCTCTAGCATGTTTCCTTCATATGCCCTAGCTTTTTGCAATGATCACGCCAAGGACGGTTGTTTTGCTTCTGGTTATTATTGCTGCTTGAGTGATTAGGCTATCCTCCACTAAAGGAGTTCGAAAACTGCCCCTTTACGGTGAGGGCTGATCCTTCTAGATTAGGTTGTCCTGATGACGTTCCCAACATCACTTTTCTACGAGTTTCCTCCCTCCGTATTTGTGAAAGCCTCACGAATGCTGGGCAAGGGTTTAGTGTTAAGGACCCTTCCTCGAACCTCATCAAGTTCCTGATTTAGTCCCAACAAAAATTTGTAGATTCTTTCCCTCTCTTGAATCTTCTTATATTGTTTGCCATCTTCAGCGCAATTCCATGTGACATTCTCCAAGATATCTAATCGTTGCCAATATCGAATCAATTGGTTGAAGTATTCTGTTACCGATGACTCTACCTGTCTGAGATCACCTAGGATTCCTTTGATTTCAAACACAACGGAAGTATTGTCCTTGTTGGAGTGTGTATCATGGGTTGCGTCACAGATTTCTTTTGCCGTTTTGTAGTACATGAAGTTTTCACCCGTTTCATTGGTCATAGAGTTCAGCAGCCAGGATATTACCAGATTGTTCTCTATTTTCTAGTTTTGGTAGGCAAGATTGTTATCCTGTGGTTGAACAGAAACACCTGTCAGGTATTTTTTTCCTTTTCCCTAACTGAAAATCATATTATTATTGTGCGCATAACTAATATCTGGCCA